ACAGGTTCATGTATCACAATTCAAGTTATTTGAACAGCAAATGAAGAAAATGTATAACTTGTTAAACTTGTTTAAGGGCTGTGGGATGAATGGCACCTCTGATGAATCATAGAAGCAGTGGTTGCTGAATGACAAGGAGGGTGAATTATTATGAATCTGTATTTGCTGTTGTATGCTTTTATTTTTCTGTATTTGCATCTCATGTATCAAATGTAAACGCCTGTAAGTAGAAAATATTAGCTGTTAGATACATGTATGGCATTATGTCTGTTAGGTGGATTCATGTGTTTGTAACCCGATTAGCAAGTGTTCAGTCACAACGCGTGGTGCATAGATGGTGGATTGTAACCGACAAGACCAGAAATTCCAATGGAGCAATTCAATTTGAGTGGTTTTCATGGACTAATACTGCACGGTATCATTCGTCTGACTTTCAAAGCCCAAGAAATATTTTATTGATACAACTGCAGGCACAAGGTTTAGATAAAAAATGCAAACGAGGTTTTTAAAATATTTGTCCTTTCGGACACAAAAAAAGGAAAAACAAAAAGGCAGTTCCTGGTCCCTTTGTGTGGAAACGTTATTGTAGTCTTGACTATTACATTGGGAAGCAATGTATTGAATTGTACCTTTTTGCGATGGGGATTTAATGTAACTGAATATAACCAAAAATCATGTACCATAAGTAATGTGTCCCTAGTACCGTGGGCGTGAAATACCACTTGGCAATATAACTCTAAAACTCAGAATGGGGACAAATGCGAATGTCAGCATTTAACCACAGTAATAGGAAGAAAATAGGAATAAGGTTATATTCTATTTTCGAGAGTGGGAGTCCCAAAGCCAAATCAAAACCACATCTATTGTTAAACAGAGATGACCCCAGTCTGTATGTAGAGGCACCGTTGGTTGCCGACGTGATTATAAGAGGAAATTGGAGTGATATGAATGTCACACAAAGTGGAATCCAGTATGTGGCCCTTTTGCTACTCCAATTTTCAATGCTTGGAAAAACCCTGGCATAGAAAAAGGGGATTTAGTAGATACTATATTAGGGGGAACTGGTATAGGAACTGGCATTTTAAATTTATACGATATAAAAACACAAAGAAATATACCAGTTAGCAGAAATCAATGGACAGTTAGTAGCGGGACAAGTTACTAACGTATTACGATTATTAGAAACTGCGGATCATACCATCCAGGCCTAACGGGATATTTGGAAGTATCTTAATTCAAGCACAGGGGGATTACTGCATTTAGGCCAAGGACTTCAAAATATCATGGCAAGGGCTATACAGGCAACCCCCACTTAACGCTGTTTCACTTAGTGCTATTTCACTATAACACTCACTTTAAATTGATACCTGCTTCCACGTAGCGCTCAGCGAGTTTCGTTATAACACTCGCGGTCACCATCTCAGGTCATTAAAAACACTCGTGGTCGCCATCTTGGATCGTCAAAAACTTTCCGTTTTGTTTAGCTCGTTTTGTTGAACGCTTGCTGTTTTGTAAACCAATTAAGAGCGCTCAGCGGGGGTTGCCTGTATTGTGCTCAGAAATGCAAATAATGTCCACCCATAGTGTGGAATGTGGAATGGACTGGTTGTTACAAGGAGGCTTTAAAAGTAATCACATTTATAAAGAAAAAACATAATGATGTCCAAATGGTATGAATATCATCAGAATCGGTACAAATATGTGTCATCTGCAGTAAATGAAACCAAATTAGAGGGTATCTTAAAAATAAAACTGTTGGTGAAACCAAGCGTGCCAATCCAGAGGATGTATTCTCTACAGGCGCTGCCCTCAATTATTGAAGGTTCTCTGTGGATCCCAAAAATTAAAAGCAAATATGCCGGTAATAATGGTACTATGCTGATACAACACGAGCATTGTGAGCAGTGGGTATGCCCAGCCCTCACGCCAGCTGCGGGACCTTGTGACTTACAACGTTCTAGTTCCAGCTGCGTTTGGGCACATCTGGCTACACGCGATACCAGAGCCTGTCATCACGGTCGGTGTAAGCTGTGTTTGTGTAGTGCCAGTGAAAACAATATATTGGGAAGATGGAACCACATCTGTACCGCCGGTAGAAGCTTGTCAATGTAACGTCACTTGCTGTGCAACCAAAACCCGTACGTATTATACGCCCCACATGTAACCAGCCAAATTTTGTATCAACCTGAGTTTAACTTCGACGTAACTTTGGGAATAGACTGAAGGGAATTAGCAACATTAGTTAATGAAGCGCCGGAAATTACAAGTAAAATGAAAGAAATGCAGTCAAGAGCACTGTTAGCCAGAATTCATCTCACTCGTGAAAGTAAGCAATTGCTTCCACAGGCTGAAAAAGAACTGACTATATATCACCGGTACGATATTTTTAAGGGATGGTCACCTAAGGCATCCTTGCTGTGCACCCTATTGTAGTTTTAGTCGTTATTCCGCCGAGATGTATTGTCGTATTGCTCTGTGTTGGTTGTTATACTACAAAACAAATACGACAGTTATATAGTTTCTATCCTCGAAAGGCGATCCCTCTTGAAAACTTAATTCGGGATCAAAAAGGGGGACTGTAGCGATTTTAAGTTGGCTGTTACAAATTAAGCTTGGCATTATGGATATGTCTAGCAAAATGAGAATCTTTGCAATGTGTGGAGTGCGTGGATGCACGAGTGTGGAGCGACTGGAAGAGCATCGCACGCTGCGAGCTCGCAAAGAAGTTACCAGCTGGTGAACAGAAATTGCACGGCGAGGCTGAAGACCCAGCTCGCGCCAGGCGCAGGAAGGAGAGCAGAGATAAGCGGGATGGACGCCTGATGCCGAGTAAGCTCATCTGTGAAGAAGTCCCGAAGGCCAAGCACAGGCGGCACGAAGTCAGGAAAGGCAGGACCGGCCACCCAACACCAGCTGCACGCCCCCGATAACGGGGAGAGACTCACCGCCCAGAAATCGGGTCACACCCTGCGCGCCTCCCTGGAGCACGGCCGCGCGTCGGACGAGACCCCGCTCCTCATCCCGCGCTCCTAGGCTGGCCGCCTCGCGCAGTGCCGAGCAGCGGGCTTTGCTAACCACGACACCCGCAGCGGAGCGGGGAGCGATGCGCGTGCGATGTCCGAGCGCTCCTGCAGATGACGGGGCGTCTCGCCTTATCCCCCTTGCAGGTCTTGCTTGTCGTGTGAGCAATTGGTAAATTGTGCGCGCCAGTGCCCCCCCCCACGCCTGCAGCGCCCATTGGGGCCGAACTGAAGCCTGGTCCTACCCCCCCACCCATCCTGGCCCGTCTCCATGGCGACCAAAGCCCCGGATGCCGCCTCCCCGACTGCGCATGCGGGGAGGGGCGGTGCGGCGCGGTGACGGGAGACGCGGCGCGCTGACGTCGGCGCGGTCACGTGGGCGGGCGGCGGGAGCGCGACGATGCCCAAGTACTGCCGGGCGCCCAACTGCTCCAACTCGGCCGGGCCGCCCCG